AATTTAAAGATGAAGTTGTCATCCTTTTCGTTTAGTCAATCTTATGTCCTGAAAGATCACAGCAAATTTTGTGTACGTAAAGAAAATGCTACATTTCAAGACTTTACATAAGAAGAATTAGGAGTCTGAATTGTGAGGAGTAACCGAATGCTCTCAAGTACATACTTATGTGCTTGTCTATGTGCTTATGAAAGTGTGTACGTAAAGTTGTGTACGCAAAGGGTTTTACATAGAAAAGGTTACAAAACTGATTTTCCTAGGGAAAATAATTAATAGTGTAAAGAGTCCTTGATTTTAAGTTTCCTATAAAGACCAAGGGTAGCTATTTTGCACACTTGTGGGAATCTGGTGAGTGGTGTCATTTCCATAGAAAATATAAAAATTTTCTCTAAACCCAAACTACAAACATTAGCATTTTCAAACTAACTGTACTAAAACATGCTCGTCTGAGCTCTATGCAAATATGTTCAAGCTAATTTCTAAATGTTACACAATGTCTATCAACTTTCTCTACAAGTCATGTTTTTGTATCTAAGAATGTCCATCAGAAGCTTGGAAAGGCTACAGAAAAGACAAGTAGTTTTTCAGCGTAGACCTGCACCTTGTTATAACCTAGTCATAATGAGACAGAAAAATAAAGTTAAGGGGCAGTCCAGTTAGCACAAACTTTAGAGAAATCTCTGTCTGTTGGGTTACAAGTAGGTTAAAGCAGCAGGGACCATTTTGGCAACGTTGCTTTCCAAGACAGAACATAGTGTCTGGAAAGGGGAAGATGAAGATGGCGCAGGTCTTCATAGACGGCGCAAGCCCAAAGCAAGCACAATGTCTTTCCACTGTTTTGGAACTGTGTCCTCCAAAACCCTAGGCACATCCCTAGCCAACCAAACAGTAGAGCTGCTTATGGCAAGCTTTGCCCTAGTGTAATCAGGTCCTTTCTTGGAGAGATGGGCAATGAACTGTGTTTAGAATAAGGCAGCCATGAGGACTTCATGTGTACTTAGAGTGGAGGCCGGACTAGAAAATTAGCCTGCAAAACTAAACTCTTCCTGGTACAGCTGCTTCAATAAACAGCATCTATCTATCATCCTTTTGTCTCTGAAAGGCAAACAGCCTGTATAAGTATACACAAAATGATAAAATAAAAATGAAAAGTAGAGATAGCAGCTGATAGAATAATAGATGCTATCACTCAACAAAATTACAAGGGAGACTAAAAGAATATTTGCCACATAATTGGCACCTGAGGGTTATTATCACTGAGATTTAAAAAGATTTTTCAGATCAATTAGACAAACAACCACCTTCAGATGAAAAATTGATAATCCGAGAATATTAAAGGGTACAGTATACAAAAATAAGAGCTGTGTGAGGCTACACTACATGGGAAGGAAAGTGGTCTGCTTCACTCAGGGAAATGCAATTTAAATAGGACTGTGTCCCACATATAAAGTTGGGAGCAGTGCTGATGTCAGTACCCGACCAGGCTGCATTCTGGGTACTGACATCAGCACTGCATGTGGGCGTGCGATTTGGTGCCATTTCTCACAGACCAACTTGACAAATATATCAATGGCCTTAAAAATGTGCACATTCTCTGTATTGTGTGAATCACATAAATGTCTGCAAGTAATGTAAAAACTCATGCTGTTACTTTGAAAACTCATACATGTACTTTGAATTAAAAAATGTAAGATTGAAAAATAAATAAATAAATATGCATACTTTTTGATTTAGTAATGTCATTTCACATATTTGCACTAATAGCCAGGCATGGTGGCACACCTCTGTAATCTCAGCACTCAAGAAGACTGAGGCAAGAGGATCACTGCAGATTCAAGACAAGCCTGGGCTACAAAGTGAACTCAAGGCCAGCCTGAACTGCACAGAGAGATCCTGTCTCAAAAAAGACAAAATAAATTTAAAAATTGCACTAATGAAATGATTAGTGATATGAACAAATACGCTACAGTTGAAAAGTGTGTGACTGCAAAAAATGATAAAGGAGAAGAGCCTTATAGAAATAACTAAAATATGGCAGAATAGAAAGTTACAATATTACGCACAATTTGATTGCTCTCTGGTGAATACTCTTAGATATGATCCACGTGGCTGTATGAAAATATACCCAATAACCAAATAACTACTAAGAGTGGAAAAAGCTATGCACCAAAATATAGAGTATATATAGGCATTTTTCTGATTATTAATTTTCCACAATACACGTTTATTATTGGTAACATGTACTTTAAAAGAGGGGAGGAAAAGAGTTAACCAAAGAGGTCCCAACAAGAATGCAGAGTGCTGGGTGAGTGACACACATCTGTAGTCCAGCTACATGGGGGCTGGACAGGCACATTCCTGGAGCCCAGGGGTTCAAGGCCAGTTAGGTCAACATAGCAAGACTGACCAAAAAAATCAATACAGAAAACACATAAAAAGTAAAAAATGCTTTGATATTTCAAGAATTATTCAAGACTTAATGTAAAAGATGACATTAATGAATGGCAACACTGAATAGAATCTATTCAGTTATAAGTTTCAAAAATATATGCAGGATTTAATTTCTAAAATTCCACTATTGCATTGGTTAATATAAAAAGAACATGTATAAATGGACACAACATACTTTTGAAACAACTATTATCAAAATGTAATAGTATTCAACTAATTTAATATCTTATATTGAAATAAAAACCCTTACTGGGGGCTGGTGAGATAGCTCAGGTGACTAAAGCACCTCTTTAGGTAAGCTTAGGCAAGCGCAGGGACCATGGTTCAATCCTTGACACTACATGCCACACAAGTCACCTCCCAGGGCAGGCTGAGCTGGCCAGAGTCTGGGGTGGGGGTGCACACCTATAATCACAGCACTGGGGAGGCTGAAAGCAGGAGAATTACCATGAGTCCAAGCTGCATAGTGAGACCCTGTGACAACCAAATACATTAAAAAAAAAAAAAAAAACCTTACTGATTTCATGTGGGATCTGGGAAAATGAATCACATTAGGTAGGTACTGTCCAGCTAGATAAAAGCATAGGTAAGAAGAAAGGGAAGAGAATTTTTACTGTCAGGTACTTAAATACTGTATAGTGTCAAGTTCCAAGAGTTGAGTCATTTTGGTAACATTTAAAAATGAAATAGATAATAGGATAAAACAGAAAGCCAGGAGGAGAGCAAATAGCAATGTACATTTTGTATCTGGTAAAAGAGGCATTCAATTAAACTATAAAAGGAAGAATGACTATTAAGCGATTGTTACCAGGACAATTGATCAACTATTTTAAAAAAGACAGATATCCTTGTTTTACTATACCCCCCAAAAGTTCCAAATGGTGTAGACTGTTAAATGGGTAGCTACCTTTTCAAATTAGGATATAAAAAAGTTACTCTAAAATAAGCAAATATAAGATCTTAGATCAAAATTTGATGGATTTTAGCACACAAAAATGTAAATCACCCATCTAATGATCCTGCCATAAATAAAAGCAAAATGCAATGAACTGAAAAAAATATTTTGCATCATATGCAAAAATGTTACTGCCTTAATACATAAAGAGCTTTTACAAATCATCAAGAACAAAGAAATAGGATTATAGTTTCAAGAAAGCAAAAATACTGACAAGATAATTATCAAAAGAAAAATACAGGGGCCAGGGAGATGGCTCAGTAGAATAAGCGCTTCCCTGGCAAGTGCAAGGGTCTGAGTTCAATCCCTGATTCTGCCAAAAAAGAAAAAAAAGAAAAAGAAAGAAAGAAAGAAAAAAGAAAAATGCAAATGTTCAGTAGATATAAAAGTAAATGCTCTTCAAAAATAAAAAAAAATTGCATTTGCTAAGATTATGTCTTTATTCCCTCATCAAATTGGCAAAAATATTAAAATTATGTTATGGTATACTGATATTTATTTATTTATTTTATAGCAGGGTCTCACTATGCAGCTCAGTACTTGACCTCGCTATGTAGCCAAGGCTGCTCTTGAACTCATGGAGATCCTCCTGTCTCAGCCTCCCACCTGCTGGGATCACAGGTATGCACCACCCTACTTGGCTACTGATCTGCATTTAGCAAACCCATTGCATTACACAACTCTCCAAAAGAAAAGCAGACAATATATATCAAGTACTTAAGTGTTTCATAACTTTTAATTCAGAAATTAAAAACTTCCTGAAGTAATCAGAATGATCTACAGATGCATGTATTTCCAAGGATCCAATAAGAGGATATTACCAAAGTAAAAATGGAATCGGATCCAGTTAATGTAAAACATCTCGTAACTAATGAAAATTGTAAATTACACAACTGCGAGATGCCAACCTGTGTAAAGTACGTATGAATATGTATACTGAGCAAACTTTAACCATCTGTTAACAGTGGCATGTTCAAGTGGTATAATTATGTTTTTCTTTTTCCTCCTCCTCTTTCACTCGTTCCACACCCACACGGAGTTGCTCTTATAGATCAGAAGCATCTATAGTTCCAAATTGCTTCCTATTGGTCACCTATTACTGTGCAACTGAGTAACATTTTATAAAAATCCAACATCCCAAACTGACTTGTCTTACATGCTAAACATTTATAAAGGGTTTGGATCCAGTTCTGAAGGTCGTGCAGGTTCTACAGAAAGTATAATATAACTTTTTTTTTTTAAAAAAAAGGACTTGAGGACACGTTAAGGTTACGACACCTCCTACCTCTAGACACACTGTGAAAATCGTATTTATTCGGGGCAGCTTGGAAACAGTCAGTGGCTACGAGTGGAAAACGTGAGTGGCGTCTAAAGAGCGCCTTTCCTAATCCTGCGGAAGCATCAGGAAGCCTGACAGGTCGCCAGTCTGAACCCTTGAAAGCCGTCAGCGACCGGACCCCGCCACAGCGGGAAGGTGGCAATGACTGACCTAGTGGACGGGGACGCGAGACTGGCCTCGCCCAAGGCTGAGCCCGGGGGACCAGGGGCGCGCGGCGGGGCGTGGGAAGGGCGCGGGGGGCGCGCCTCGCCTTACCGCGGCTTGCTGGAAGGCGCCCTTGGTGTAGGTGCCGCCGCCGCGGTAGGTGATGGCCGGGATCTCGCGGCCGAGCAGCGCGCACTTGTGCTGGTGCGCACGGCGGGACGAGATGTAGTCGACGCGCGGCACCACGTTGCTCTTGGACGCGAAGGTCACGATGGCCACCCGCGTGGCGGTGGACACCACGGGGAAGTCGGACAGCAGCTTACGGACGAACTTGAGCTCGCTGCGGAAGTTGGCGTGGCCCACGCTGGACGACTCGTCCACCAGGAAGACGAGCTCCAGGCGCTCGCTGAGCTCCCGCAGCCGCCGCACGCGGCGCCGGAACGCCTGGCCCAGCCGCTCCACTTTGCGGTCCGCCGCCTCCTCCTCGCCCGGCGCGGGCGGCGCGGAGGGCAGTCGGCCGGGCGCCCCGGCGGCGGCCTCGGGGAAGAGGCGGAAGCTGAAATTGCGCGACGGGGACATCTGCGGAAAGGTCGGCCAGCCCGAAACGAGCGCCAGACCCCAGCAACAAAAGGCCAGACGCGGCCACATTGCGCTGGCGACGGAGCGGTCGCCCCGGAGCGCAGGAGGCAGCTCGGCGCGCAGAGGGGACAGCGGCCGCGAGCCTCAGCGCCCTTTCATCTGACACGGGGGACAAAATCCAGACTCCTTGGCAGCTCAGGGCTCGGAGGGAACGGCACGCTCTCTCAGCTCTCCTCTTTTTTCCTTCCCTCTCTCCTCCTCCTCCCTCTCCCTGAAGCCTATAAAATGTTTGAAGGAAAGGGGGCAGTCAAGAAATATCCCCCCACACCCCTCCTTCTCTCTCCCTCGCTCTCCTCTGTCTCTCCCTCTCCACTCCGCTCTCTCCTATGTCTATCTCTGCCTCTATCTCTCTCCTCCCCCTCTCATTCTTCTCCCGGGACCCAGCCAAAGACTGAGATTCCATGACACCAGAACCCGCGTCTGTCAGACTGTCAACATTCCCGCAGCAAGCTCACCAGCGCCGGAGCCCTGATTGATCCCATATGTCTGGCAGGAGCTGCAGAGGAATTCACTGGAGATGGATCCAGATACCGAGAGTGCCACAGTAATTGGAAACACTTTGTAGAAGAAAACACACACATGCACTGGCCAGGGAGTTGAAAGCATCATTTGAAAACTGCTTGCTCACCTTTTGTGTTTCTTTTCCCTCCCTCAGCGTCCCACAGCTCTCGCTGAGTAGGTATCTGTCTGACCTTCCTCCTGAGGACTTCAGCGACAGTGTGCAGACTTCTAAGGGTCTCCTCAGATGACACCAAATAGGGCTTACATTTACATTTACTCCTCCTGTAGGGAGGATTTATCCCGCTGCTTCATTTGTGCATTTATTTATTCAACTGTTTATTCTTTCCTTGACTTAAAGTAGTTTTTGAGTGCACAGTATTATATGTGCCAAGATCTTTGTTAGGCACCAAGAACACGAGAAAGAACAGAAGTTGACATAAATCTTGTATTCAAGAAACTTATAAGGTAACAAGTGATGTGACTGTCAATTAGACATTCGCATAAGAAACATACACAATTATGACTGATCCTGCTAAGTGCCATGAGGTGGGGCTTGCTAGATTGGACTTTGGCCAAATCCAGGAAAGCCTTTTCTGAGAGTGAGAAGTTTATGGGAAATTCTAAACTATGAGTCAGGATCCCTTTTTCCAGTTCATTTCTTCCTTGATCTATTTCAGTAAGTGAGATGTATCTGGCTTTGAATGGTATGGGACATATATCTGCTTGGAAGCACAAGCTGCTGCCTGGGTGATTATTTTCCAGGGCAAGATCCCTAAGGGGCGCAAGTGTGAGGAAGGCACACGCTTTGCATGAGAGGTGAAGCCCTTAACTGAAGCAGTCCAGCTAGGAGTCAGGCGCTCATTGTGGGTTTGCCCTTGCAGTTATGTAAACTACCAGAATTCCTAGCTTAGTTTTAGCATCTCTTTCATGATGCAATTCAGCGATCTGGAGGTTTCCTCCATCTCTAATAGTGAATGGTTTAATTGTATATTTGAATGTATATTTGATAAACTATCTTCAAGAGATATCACAGTGTATTAATATCAGTTGAAATATTAAGGCTCTGGTCTCAGATTACCTGAGCTGAAATCTTGGCCCTGCTATTTACTAGGTGTGTTGCTATGACATCAGTTTGCTCATTTAGAAAATGGAGCAATCAGCACACTAAAAGTTAATGTAATGATTAAATCTTAAGAAAGAGAGAAAAAAAAGTTAGTTAGGTCCTAGGACAGTACTTAGAAGACTAAAGCATGTAGTAAAAACTGCTGGTTGCTATTGTCACTACCTTTAATCCCACATGTTCTCCAAGTCCTTATTTTTTGATGATATTTACTGATTTTTTACTCTCTACTAGCATGTTAGATATTGAGGACTAGAAGGTGAACCAGCCTCTGTTGTAGTGTTCCAGAGGCTTGAAGTGTATAAAATTTTGTAAATGATTATAAAACAGGGTGATCACAAGATGGACAAGAGGGAACAGTAGCTAAAGTTTCCTAGGAATGACTAAGATTTCCTTTGAACTTGGACCTTTTGAAAAGAAAAGCTTTCCAAATTTCATCTGTTCTGTGTGATTTGAAGCACATCATTAAGAGCTAGCATGTCAAGGCCCTTGTGTGTCAGGCACCATAGCAACTGTTGGGTACACCATCTCATGTGCTTCTACAACCCAGGGAGGTTGACAATGCCTTGGGAACCTTTGGTTGCACGTAATAGGCATCCAACTTATTTAAACAAAAAAGGATTTCTTTGTTCAAGCAACAAAACTCTGGAAAGGACAGGGTGGTACAGCTAATTTTAAAAAGGTCTGGGAGAGGAAGTCAAGACCTAATTAGGTCCTCAGAAATTCTCTCACTTCCACTTCTCTTTGTGTGCTATATTTAGTCTTTTCTTTTCAAATAATTTAATTTTTTTAAAAATTTTATTTTGAAGAGTAAAAACAAAAGCAAAAACAAATAGCAGAAGCAAAGACAGAATCAGGGTAACATACAACAATACATATACTACAGATTTGCAAAACAAGAATAACTAACAGTGGTTATTCTATTATGTATTTTTATCATCAAATCTGTTGTCTGACCAACAAATACATTTATGCAAGACTGGACAAATAATTGAATATTACTACTTGCTTTTAAGAAAACTTAATTTTCTTTTTTTGGTCTTTTTTTTTTTTTGCTTTTTCTAAAAATTTATTTTAATGAGAGTATAATAATAATTGACAAGACATTAGAGATGGTACATATTTAGAAGACCAAGATGAGAGGTATTCAAGCATGGTTTTTGTATTACACATTACTATCATAAGACATGCTTAATGTATGCAATGGTTACCATTATCAAGGGGAGGTGGCACATGTATGTAACACAACTTAATTATTTTTACTTCTTCTTTCATTTCTCCTTCCAACTCTATCTCTTAGTCCCCTTTGTATTTGTAAAAGCTCTGTCTCAGATTTATGACCTGAGAAAGGGAGAGTCTTTTCCCCAATTGCAGGCCTAAAAACACTAGCAAAAACAACCACCACTACTTAAAAGTAGGACTGCATCGAAGCAGGCATGGCTATGTGCTCATCCCTTCATCCACCATTGTGATTGAGTTGCAGATGGGCACCAAGGTGCTCAGATAAAGACTCTGTTTCATAGCATCTTCTGCAGCTGGATATGATCACATAAAACATTCTAGGTAGAATTTGTGTAGCAGATTCCAGAAAACTTCTTTAAAAGACACCTGTTATTCTTTATCTGTGATCTCTTCCTTTCATTCTTTACTCCATCTTTCTATCTAGACCATGAATATAGTGGTGGACTGGAAGAATAATGGTCACAGTTTAGAGAGGGTGAAGTCTGGGTCCTTCTAGGCTTCTTGGGATACAACCATTGGAGTAATCCTAGGTTGCCTAACTGTCTCTTTTACTCTGAGTGTTCTTGTCACATTCAGCTGATTTTGATCCTAATATATTCAAACCTGTTGCTGTGGAGTCTACATCAATAAGTTCTCCCTTGATGAATGCAGTGGTAGAGGAAAGAGAACATAGTGAATTTTACATTAGCTCTGGAAGGTGCCTCCTCAAATTAAGAAACAGTTCTGCTCTAACAATGAACTCAAAGCAAATCACATGGCCATGTCCAACTCCAAAGGGAGCAGAAAAGGACAAACCAAACATATTTTTCAGAGAGCAGAAAGCTAAAAATATTTGATGACAAATACAAATAATTGCTCCATTAAGTCACATAACAGTGAGAAGATGGTTGAATGCGAAAAGCAAAATGGATTCAAAACTCTGGGATGAAAAGCTACAACTCTTGTTGCATAGATCTTGTTTTACCTAGGTCTTAACCATCCAGCAGAAAAGCATAAAAACGAAGTATAAGAAGTAAAGTCATGCTGTTATGTTGAGCTGTAGGGGACTCAGGTCAACAATTTCTGACACTGCCAGTCAAGAGGAAGACCCAATACTATTATGGACTACTGGACTCTTTCAGAATATTTTGCTGAGTTAACACACCTGTAATATTCAAATGATGGAACTAAATAAAAAAGGGGATACAGATAAATATCCATTTTGTATCTATATATTCAAAATGGTTAGGATAGATATACAGTTACATTCTCTTAATGAATAGAGGGATTTGTTCTAATAGTGTTTGTAAATAAGATATCATGTCTGCATCTTGTACAGCAAATAACCACTAGGAAGAGAGTATGCAATGTGTTAATTATTAAAACTGTCCAACCAATTTGGTTTGAAACTGTCTCATTGCTATTTGTCTCTCAATAAAATTATGGAATAAAACTCTGGGATGCTTAGGCTGTCCTGAAATTTATGAGCTTCTTACAGGAAAGATTTACAAATCTATTTATTGTAAGGCCTTCCTGACTTTTCCACTCAATGCCAAACAGGAAGGGAATCAAGAGATGGAGTTGGAAAGGGAAAGGGAAGAAGCAATAAAAGGAATTAAGATGTGGTGCACTCATGTGCCAACTCCCCATGATGAATGTAAACATTACATACCCCAAACACGTATTAAATTTTTAAAAATTATTTGGGAAATAAAAGACTAAATGTAGCATGCAAAGAAAAGTGGAAGTAAGAGAAGTTCTGAAGATCTAATTACTTCTTAACTTCCTTTTCAGGGCTTTTTGAGACCAGCTGTACTACCCTGTCCTGTCCACAGTTTAGTTGTTTGAATGAAAAAAAAAATCCATTTTTGTTTAAGTGAGAAGAAAGAAGTCAGATGCCTGTTACTTGCAAGCAGAGGTTCATAAGGCAATTGTCAACCTCCCTGGGTTGTTGTTGGAAAGGCATGAGATGCCTGCTATATTTCTGCAAGACTTTGATTAATAGTGTAGTACATAGTGTCCAATTTTAGTGGGAGTTTATAATTAAGCACTAGTGAGACTTAGAATAAATTATGTTTTTCTAAGTTTTTTAAAATCTCAGCCCATCCTGGAATCTTGTCTTTCTTAGCACAAAGAAACAATAACATTAAAATAGTTATATTTAAATATGTTTTAAAACACAACTTATCATATAACAGCATATGTATCTCTTCATAGTCACACAGAAATATTTATTAACTGTCTCAGTAAATACCTCATACTTAAAGTGATATTAAATATGAGAGGGCTAGGCAGATGAAATCTCAGATTATTCATATATACTAAGTGGGACAGCATATGTCCAACATACTGTGGTGCTGTGTATTTCCAGTGTGCTGATCAATGAGGCTATGTCAAATATCCACAAATTAATAGTAGCGACATGCCAGAGACAGAAAACAATCTTTCCTGAATGCTATTAAGATTGCAGCTTCAATCT